GTTGTGAAATTGTCTAGAAAGTACTTTCCTATAATTTATATTAAAATCAGTATCTGAGAGAAAGAGAAGTGAAGAATAAATATTTGTGTTAGTTCAATCAGCTTTTAGAGTGTTTTAAAATAAGCCTGAAATTACATCACAGTAAGGTAAACATATTTCTTTTATCATCCTGATAAAATCATGCTGTGTTGTTTGTCACCTGAATAAATCCACAGAGTGCTTGCTTGTAAAGCCAGAATACTCTTTGGTGTAGTATAATAAATAATATTCTAAAAATAAAAATCAGCTGAGATGAAGGTTGTCCTGTTAATACAAGCCTGGCCTCTTTCTTTTTTTTAAATATATATGTGGAATTAGGATCTGACTATTCCTTGTAACATGAATTTAAGTTCTGTAAGCCAAGAGGAATAAAAATAAGGTAAATCCAGATCTTTCAGTAGCTGTACTTCTTGAACCTCTGCCTGAAACCTCCCTCATTTGTACAAGATTGAGTTAATTTGTGTGCAATAAATTTTACGCTCTTATCAGAAGTTCAAGTAGAAGTACAAACTCTGTGAAAAAGTGCTATTTTTGCACTTGAAAAAAACCAGACACTGTCGATGGGTGATTTACTGAGGCAAGTAAATATACTGCTTTGTAAGGGATCCCAGGATAAAATATAAACTGTCACAGTAAAGAGGACCCAGCTCTTTTCCAAACTGCAGGCGGGATGCTAATTCTGGCAGTCACTTGCTGGTCCTGTGAGAGTGAGTCATGCATTGCCTGCAGATACAGTGGTAGCACGTGGGGCTAAGTGCCACTCAGCCCCAGCTTCAGCTCCCTGCTCTTGGTGCACCCCAAGAGAAGGTGGGAACCCTGCTTCTCTTCTTTCTCTTTACAAGGTGCCTTCCCTTGCTTCTCAACACTGCTAGGACCAGCTTAGAAATGAAAAGAAGTTGGGCAAATTGAGGCAAATAGGTATTTCTGTATAATAAAAATAGATCAAATATTTTACACAGAAATCACACACCCACTTAGTTTTAGTGAATACTCTATGTGCTGTAGAATTATGTTTTTAAAGTTATGACTCATTCCAGGAGTTATATTAGCAGATGTTCATGCAGCTCAGCAAAAAGCCAAAAAAATAAGAAAAAATGTCCCCTTACACTTCTAATTTTCTCCCCATCTCATTACAGAGTTGCAAGACACTTCTCTCTCTCATACTTTGAGTGTCACTCTGTACAATATCAATAAATACAGGCAAATAGAAATATCACATGAGAATCAAGTATCCAGGGAGAGTCAAGAATTTAGAGACTTATTTAGATAAATGACTCCAGACAATGCTGGCTAAGATACAACTGGTACAGTTTTCTGGACATATGAAAAAGAGTATAGAAATACATGTAAACATAGCATTAGTAAACACAACTCATCCTGATAACCAGAATTATTGAAGGATGTAGGATACTTCAGAGTTCAGGAAAGGGTTACAAAGCAATCAAGAGTCTGGGAACAAAACCCTTCTACTGTGAAGCTTAAGTGGTTTAAGGTGGCTCTTTTTGGTTTGACAAAAAAGAATATTAAGAGGTAAACCAGTACCCTGTACCTGGTCACTGGCAGGCAGAGAACAAGCCTTATATCTGTTTAATCTACTTTGCAAAACCTTCCAGCACCTTGTGACTGAAAGTTGACTTTTGACAAGTTTACCCGAAGAATTTCTATTCATAAAGGTAGGAAAACCTCAAAACAACTTTCTGGGCTGATGGTGAAAGGACATTTTTTGGATTCCTTAAAACTAAATTTGATTTCTGTAAATATTTGGTTTAATACAGATAGTATCTGAATGACTTTGGTTTGTTTGTGTTGTTTGTTTTGTTTTGGTTTTTGGTTTTTTGTTTTGTTTTGGTTTTTTTTGTTGTTTTAATTTTATTTGTTTATTGTTTTGGGTTTTTTTTTTTTTTTGAGAGACAGTTTGTAGCCAGTTTTCCTTTCCTTTTCCAGGCTAAGTTTTGCTCACCATTCCTGATTCCTATAATCCCTCTTCCCTCAGTGGTACATAGGGACGGAGAATGAGAGTTGTTGTCAGTCCATAACTCAGCTGCCCTCTGCTGCTCCTTCCTCTTCACATTTTTCCCTTGCTCCAGTATGGGTTTCTCATGGGTTCACCATTCCTATGAGAAAACCTGCCCCTGTCTGGGCTCCTCCCAATAGGCCACAGTTCCATGGGCTCTCCACCAGCTGCAACTTCCTTCACGGGTGAAACAACCTGCTCCTGCATGGGATCCTCCGTGGGTTGCTCTTTGGATATCTGCTCCACTGTTGACTTCTATGGGATTCAGAGGAACAGTCTGCACCACTGTGGTCTTCTCCAAATGTTGGAGAGTCCTCGTGGTTCAGGACCTGGAGCACCTCCTCTCCCTCTTATTCCATTGACCTTGTTGTCTTCAGGGCTGTTTCTCTCATATTTTTCCTTATCCTTCTCTGCCAAGCAGCATTTTGCCCTTTCCTAAGTACACTTTCTCCAAGGCACCACCATCTTGGTTGCCGGGCTCAGCTGTGCCCTGCGGTGGATATGCTGGAGCTGACTGGAACAGGCCATGTCTGGTACGGGGCAGATCTGGCCTCTCCTGGATCTCTGAACTCAAGACAAGGATAACTAACAGCAATGCAATCACCTGTGACACAGAGGAGATCAGTGTAGGTCTTCTGTTGGTCTCTTCTGGCATTAACTCCACAAAAAAGTATTTCAAAATGGTTTCATGATCAAACAGGCACAAGTGCTGACAGGTAGCATTAAGTTTTTTTCACACCACATTATTAAAAATATGTGACAGCGTGCAATTAATTTTATACAAACTGGTGAGAGACAGCAGCAAGGTACCTACTTTATTTGCTGCCAATTTATGTTGCATTCCAAATGGGGCCTTAGAGACAAAAGGCTCTTTGTCACAATGCCAGCATGTGTCTGAGCTCAGGCAGCTAAAGGTGAAATCATATCACGGTGGCTTATGTGTGCAAATTTGATAATACTATTGCTTTCAAGTCACCTGCAATGTACTGATCCTGCTCCACAATGCAGTGCACTATAGCCTTCACAACAGGCCCATAATCCCTGTGCATTCAAGTAAAGCTGAATTTTTATATCCAATATATAAAGCTGTTTATCATATGTCATTGTAACTACCAAAGGATTCTCCCCAAAGACTCTAAAAAGACACTCGTTGTCTTAAACAAGTCCAATGAGAAAAAATGTTTAGAATTTCTTCAAAATAAAGTAAACCAAAGTAGAGGAATACTTTGAAAACAATCTGTCATAATAAAAATATATAAATGTGTATGTCAATTCTTCCCTAACGTAAATAGAGCAATACTGATTTATGGCTGCAGATAAGTTCATTCATAAACTTTAAACCAATACCCTAATAATTTCCTTGAGCTGAAACAGTCCTCAACCCTGTGCATGTTTGAGTGTATTATTTGTAACTGAAGGGGGCACGTGTGGTCCCTGAGGCACTGAGGAAGTGAGTTGAAATCAAACTGTTACAACAGACAAATGCTTCCAAAGAACTCCAACTTTTACTGTCCCAAGAATTCTAACTTACTGTCAAGAAGAACAAACTCTTGATCTTTCAAAGAATGAAATGCATGGTGAGTTTGTAGAAGTTAGAGTTTGTAGGTTAAATATTGTGCTGGAGGACAAAAATATATAAAATAAGTGCAAAAAAAAAAGAAGTTGAGAAAATATTGGTGATTGATGTGACTCTTTGGTCAACATCTGCCTGAGAAAACCCCTATTCTATGGAGTATCCAAGGCTGGGATACTCCATAGAGAGAGAGAGGGGATAAGGAAGATGTCATAGAACAGACTCCCCTCTGCACACCAGGCTTCCTGGTCTTTGTTAGCACTGGCTATCATAGCACTGCTTCCAGCCACAGGGTCCTCTAGGCTGGCAGAGCCATCCTTACATCTTTGTGACAGTACAGATCCACAGTATCTTCTTTCAGTATTATTTTTATTATTATTTACATTTTAATTGAGTTTATTTTTATTTGTGTATCTCAGTTTGCATGTCCTTAATGTTAACATTATGTCCGAAAAAATTACTCCAGATGTGCAGATCAATGCAGAAAATACATGCATTTAAGATGATCCTCCTCAAAGGTAGATGTCCCAAGAAGGCACACCAGACAAGGAATGCCTGTTTCTCTCCCTTGACTGTAAAAAGCCTATAGAAAGAGCTCTATAATGAACTCTTGCATCCTGCAGATGTCTAATGACACAGCATCTGTGTCCAAGACAACATACTGGAGAGCCTGGAGCTGAGAGTAGAGAGTTGAACATCTTGGAGTAGGTGATCCTTGAATATTAATCAGCTTTTTTGGGCTCCACTTCTTTCAGGACATTATCCCAAGCAAGTCCTTGAAGAGGCCAAAGTCTACTCTCCTGAAGTCCAGGGTAGTGAGTTTGCTGTGTGTCCTACTCACTACCCTAAGGATCTTCAGCTCCAACATTTCATGGTTTCTGCAGCCAAGGCTGCCCTTACGCCTCATATTTGCCTCCAGCCTCCCCTTGTTGGCAAGAACAAGGTCTAGGATAGCATCTCTGCTCATTGGCTCCTCTACCACTTGGAGAGTTACCATCAATGCATTCCAGGAACCTCCTGGATTGCTTATACCCTCATCTTCTTGGTCTTCTTGGTCAGGTGGCCTGTATCAGACCCCTACAATAATGTCATCTTTCCCTGCTCTCCCTTTAATCCTCTCCCATAAGCTCTCAGTCATCTTCCCATCCATCCCTAGGTGAAACTTTATGCACTCCATCTGGTCATTGCCATAGAGAGCGACACCCTCTCCTCATCTCCCCTGCCTGTCCTTCCTAAAGAGCCAGTGTCCTTCTATCCCAACATTCCAGTCTTAGAAGCCATCCCACTATGTCTCCATGACACCAATAAGATCATAGTCCTATAGGCATGTGCATGTCTTTGGCTTCTCTTGTTTATTTCCCATCCTCTGTCTGTTTGCCCAAAAGCATTTAAGTTGGGCCCCCCATGAGGTTGACTTACTGGCTGGAGTGGCTGGAATTCCTTTGTTTTGCTCTTCAGATGCTCTCTTGCTGACCTGTGCTCCCCCTCCAGACTCCAAGCATCTGCTGCTGATGCTGGCATCAAACTGGTAGGAGTGGGATGGGCTGAGGTTCCCCTGCCCTGGCAAGTTCAATTCAAAGCCCTCTTCACCACCAACTTGGCAAGCCTGTGGCCTATATATGTGCAGCATTTACACTGCATGGCTTTTGCTTCAGTCTTGATGTGCAGAGTACCTTCCCACTGGGACAGATCCACACAGGGTGCACACGCACTAAGTCCCACAAAGCCAGTGTCTGTTTCATCAGAAGTTATGAGTTTTGGATAACTTGGAAAATTAGGGTCCAAGTCCTAACCTTGAAAAAGACACTTCAAAGTAGGAATTAGATTCTTGTTATCTCGGTGCTTTTTTCTTTCTGAGAAGCTTTTTTAGTCTGAGAAGGCCTTTTAAATAGTATATAATAAATCGTTGAGTAGTTGCTATTGTCAGCCTGAACAACAAGCAGAATGTTAATTATAAAGTGTGTAAAATTAAAGAGAACAAGTTAATTAAAGGCAGGGAAAGGCTAATTGAAATATCTCCTTTTTTTTCCCTGTTTATTGTTTGATCCTTCTTCTAAGTAGGTGGGAAAAGAGACTATTTCTTTTTAATTTTTCCTTTATTTTTTTTTTCCAGTACAGCTCTGGGTTTCAGACTATTTCACAGTTGTATATGAGCTGAGCAGCAACTGAGACAGACAGACTTTTTCTTGAAAAAAGGGAGAGAAACTTAAAAAGTTAACATTTAGCAAATGTCAAAACACGCTCTAGGCCAGTTTCTCACTTGGTGCTGCTGGAGGTTAGTGCCTTTGACGTCAATGGAATGGTTCCCATTTTCAACAGGTGTATCCCAGCCCACTAGCCCAATATTTGCACCATATACACCATAGAGGAAACAAAGGAATACTGAGAGAGCTTTATCTATTTACCTTAGGAAAAAAAGCTGGTTTTTTATGGGTGAGAGTTATAAATTTGCTGGTTGAGTGCATGTGCTCAAATAAAAGGCTATATTATTTGTCCTACTAAGTACAGTCTGTTGGATTTTCAAAGCTGGTTTGCTATTTACCACAAATACAGAGGGCTTTGTACTCACTCTGACCTTTGGTTCAGAATTTATCCTTTAAAATGTTAACGATTTCTCTAGATTTGAATGAAACACATTTTTTTCTGTGTGGTATGGCCAAAATTCTTGTTTCAAGAATTGTTTGGTGGTCATAATACTGGTCTCACTTCAAGAAAGACATTGAGATTCTGGTGGAGGGTCTAGAGAGTAAGTCCTGTGAGCTGAGGGAGCTGGGGTTTTTTAGCCTGGAGAAGAAGAGGCCCAGGGAAGACCTTACTGCTCTATACAACTATAGGAAGGGAGGTGGAGTTTGACCTCTTCTCCCATGCAACAAGTGACAGGACAAGAAGAAATGGCTTCAGTCTGTGCCAGGGGAGGTTCAGACTGGACATCAGGAAGAATTTTGTTAAGCACTGGAATGGGCTACCAAGGGAAACGGTGGAGTCACCATCCCTGAAATGTTCAAGAAATGCCTGGACATGACACTCAATGCTATGGATTAATTGACATGGGGGTGTTCAGTCAAAGGTTGGACTTGATGGTCTTGGAGGTCTTTTTCAACCTCAATGACTTGTTCAACTGTAAGAAGTTTAACAATGGCAAGTGCTGGATTCTGCATTTGGAACAGGGCAGCACTGGTTGTGTGTATAGATTGGAGAGCAAGAGGTTGGGGAGCAACATTGCAGAAAGGGACCTGGGAATTTTAGTTGATGGCAAGTTGAATATGAGTCAGCAGTGCCCTGGTAGCCTGGAAGGCCAACCTTGTCCTGGGGGGTATCAGGCAAAGCATCACCAGCTAGTCAAAGGAAGCGATTTTCCAGCTCCGCTCTACACTGGGGTGGCCTCACCTTGAATATTGTGTGCAGTTTTGGACCCCACAATGTAAAAAAAGATGTTAAGCTATTAGAGACTGTCCAAAGGAGCCATGAGGATGATGAAGGTTCTAGAGGGGAAACTTTATGAGGAGCAGCTGAATTCACTTGGTTTGTTCAGCCTGGAGAAGAGGAGACTGAGGGGAGATCTCATTGCAGTCTACAACTTCTTCACAAGGGGAAGTGGAGGGGCGGGTACTGATCTCTACGCTCTAGTGACCAGTGATGGCATTGGAGGAAATGGCATGAAGCTGAGTCGGGGTATATTGTGGCCTTATTCCAACTGCTTATTTGGTATCTATCACAGAGATTGAAAAGCATCTTTTACCCAAAAGCTTTCCAGTGGTAAGATATTCCTTGCTCTACTGATTTCTATGTGTTTGGGCCTTCTTATTGCTTAGATAAAAAAAACCTTTGTTTTAAAAAGTCTCAGATGATTGGTTGCTGTTTCTGCAGCCAGGTGAATGACCAGGAAATAGAAAGAAACCATTCTTTTCAATTCAAGGAAAGATTTAAGGAGACTTAGAACTGCCTAAATCCCTTGGGGTTAAAGAGAAAATAGGAACAAGCAGAAAATGTCTGTAGCAGAAAAGCTCTTTCTCTGTGTGTGTGTAAGTGGAATAGTTGCATTTGTTCTTCAGACTTTTAAACCTTTAAAAACATCCTGGTCTGACAAAGATTTCTGTATTCTCAAAGTCTTCAGTTTGCAACTGCTTGCTGCTGAATTTAAAACCTGGAAGAAATTGCAGCAGACTTTTGCTACACTTTGTACATTCTACTCTTTGTCCTGGTTTTGGCTGTGGTAAAGCTAGTTTTCTGTGTTTTGGAATTAGGATGAGAATAATGTTAACACACCAATGTTTTAGTTGCTGCTGAGAAGTACTTACAGTAAATCGAGGAGTTTTCATCTGCTCATATTGCCCTGCCAGCAAGGAGGCTGATGGACCACATGAAGCTCGGAGGGGACACAAGCAGGACAACTGACCCAAACTGGCCAAAAGGATATTCCGTGCAATAAGATGTCATGCTGAACAAAAAAACTGGGGAGAGTTAGCTAGGGGGCAATGGCCTGCTGCCTGGCAGGGCATTGGTCAGTGGGTGATGAGCAAGTGCATTGTGCATCATTTGTTTTGTATATTCTTTTATCATTATTATTATTTTACCTTCCTTTTCTGTCCTATTAAACTGTCTTTATCTCAACCCATGAGTTTTAAGTTTTTTTCCAGTTCTCTCCTCCATCCTACTGGGGAGCAGCGAGGTGTTTAGCTGCCTGCCGGGTTAAATCCCAACACTCTTTTTTGGGGCCCAGTGTGGGATTTAAAGGGTTGAGATAATGACAGATCTGACCAGAACATTTGTTCTGGTTACAGAACAATTTGCTAAAACAAATTTGTTACAAGTATTTATTTTATTAATTTAATAGTCACTGGTTACAATGTTGATTTATTTACTCTCAGAGTTGATGCAATTGTTCTCAGGGTTGTGTTATGCAGCACCTCTCCTGTTGTGCTGTTTATCATCTCAGGGGTTGGATTAAGATTAAAATTTTGCTGTATCTTTTGTATAATACTAGTTTATGATTTGATAAAATGACTAGTTGTGAAACTAAACTGGTATTTGTACGCAGTATTGCTGTTGTCTCTATACTTCAAGAACCATCTATCAGAAACTATTAATAAATACATCTTATACCATTTCTCCTTGGACAAGTAGCCTCCAGGCTAGTTATAATAGCTCTTGAGAATGCTGAATATCATTGGGATGTTCAATCATTACGTTCCTACTACTATGTCTCCTTAATGTGTTATGTGTCTTGCTTAAAGTTAAACTTAAGCAAAAATTGTTCTGAGAGTTCTGGCAATTCAAAGAGGACATGTCCTACTCCTCACCTATACAAATGAGTACCTTAAGTATGAGGAGTAAGAGTTCCTCTGTTCAAGAGGGAGGATATAGTGGATACACTCCCCAGGGTAACTACAGTTTACCTGTGGTTCCACAGGGAGGACACTAGGAAATGGGATGGAAAATCTACCTCAGCCTTAGAAGTATGGGTATCTGAATTGCAAGGAAAAACAGTCACAAAAGGAGAATCCCTCTTGTGCAAAATTTCCAGGAAAATTGCTGCTTCAGTTTCCAATGGGCAGTTCCAAAAAGAGTAGAAAGGCTGATCATAGTTCTGAACTTAATAAAGATACTTCTCATTTGTATTTACAGGAAGGGAGTTACAAATGCTGTGTCCTGGACTAGAGGGGATCTACCTTCAGCCAGGTGGAATAAGAGTACGACACAGTTTATATTGGACTATGTGGATCCAATTGGCCTGGCACTTAGACCCACAGGCTCTAGTAGACACCAGTGCACAGTGTTATCAAACTGTAAAGGGGTAAAATCTGTCTGGATTCTGTGACAGGGGGAGCATTTGACTTCATTGTTATGTAGGTCATAATGAAAATATTAAACAGTATTGACTCCTGAGACATGTTGCTTGCGACCAATCTCACAGTGACAATACTCCTCTGTGTGGTGTCAGAATCAATGTGCAGTACCACAGATTTTGGCATAGATGTTTTTGTCTGGTAAGCTTCGTGCTGTGACTACTTCCCTGGGGAGTGATCACATCACCAAGTTTACCAGAGTTCAAGAAACATGATACTCTCAGGCACATGGTGTGACTCTTGTGGATGGTCCTTTGGAGGGCTAAGGGTTGGACTTGATGATTCTTGTGGATCCCTTCCAATTCAGCATTTTCTGTGATTCTGTGTTCTTCTAAGCTGTGTTACAACCAATGGAGAGATTTAATTTGCGATTCCATAAGTAAGATCTGAATCATCTTTTAATTTACAACTATTCAGTAGAACACGGGTGGCTATTCTGAGCGACATTTTCTAAGCTTGAGGATTAAATACAAGACTTGGTCAGAATCCGTTTTCATCAGTGAGAATGTAAAGTTTTTAATGTAACCAAATCCAGTATAAGGGAATAATTTAAAAATATCCTCTTTTCTAGAGCACATATTTCTTCTGACCGCATGGGCACATGAAGTTTTTCCAGGGTCTAGGGCTGTTCATTCCAGTAAGTTATTTTTCCACTTAATATGAAAAAAAAGAAGAATGTTTTGCTTTTATAAAAAAAAATATATTGTTCTTTATATATAAAATCCTTCTGGTATCTCTCAGAAATTACATACACTACATGTGATGCTATATATAGTTTTGAATCTATTGTGGCTACATTGTATTTACATATTGCACTTCTCTTCCTCTACAGAAGTCTAGTTTCCTCATCCTTCAGAAACACATAATTATTATTTTGAGGCAAATTTGTTTTTCCTTGCTGACAGGATCTGTTGACACACAAGTGCTCACCTTCGAGACTGTAACTTTTTCTTTTTTTCACTTTTAAATAAGAAATATATTCTGGGAGGTTTTCATGGTAGATTTTTTATTTGTTTCAAATGACAGGACTAAACAAACCCATTTCTATACTCTCCTGCTGCCAACAGCCTAAAGCATTCATCAATTGATCCCTTTTAACCTGCAAGAATTCATTTTCTGCCTTGCTTCAGTTTCTTGCCAGTCCCAGATCACCACAGTTGCTTATTTTGCACACAACTTTTACAACCTTTTCTCAACTTTCCTTCTGATGAGAATGGAGGAAGGCAGAGGAAAAGGAATAATAAATGTTGATTTTACCTTTTCTCAGAACTAATAAAACCAATGTTTCTTATCCCACCACTTCTTATATGTGAACAGCTGATGCTTTCTTTAACATACTGCAGTCCAGGCTTAGCACTGGACAGACTGTAACATTTATTAATGAGGTGAACAGTATTGCCTTTTTCTAGGCAAGACTAAATGTTGCCTGTGGCAAAGAGGTTTTGTGCTGGAGTATGTGAGCTTTTTTTTCTCTGTCGTACTCTTTCCCTGATGTGATATTATGTTGTGAGACTAAGAACAAGGTCAGGAAGAAATATGCTTGAATACTTCTGGGTTGATTAATCCTTAAGTTTTGTTCTTAGGAAATTTTGTTTTCACATTTCTGGACATACTGAAGTCTGTGACCTTGCCCTAACTGTGCTGCAACCAGACATAGGATTCATGAGCCATTATATTGCTTTATTTTTCTGACTTTATACCTCCAGTTTTCATATCTTTATATCTGTGTGGGAGGTTGATGCAATGTCTGATGTGCTTCTAAACGAAAAATCACCTCTCATCACCTATATAACTGGAGTACTTTTTGATGAATTAAGCTAGGAGCTTTTTAGTGTTGAAGAGCAACATCAAGCCTCTCTTGAAAAAGAGAGAAAAAGCACAAGATTTTCTCAGAAAGTCTTTGAAAAATTTTCAGCTTGTTTCTAAATATTGTTTCAAAACATAGAATTTATTTTACCTCCTCCAGTCTTCTCCAGTAAATGCAATGCACAATTAGCAAACTATTCTAGTATTTCAACTTGACTTACTGTACGTCAAAGGATAGACACACTCAGATGGTCTAAACTCCACTGAAGATGGAGCTAGAGTAAAGGCAATTCCAACTGCATTGCATCTCATGCAAATGATCTTGGAGACTAAGCATTCCTGGGCTTGTCCTGTACTTGGATAAGAGACCATCTGGAAGTCCCAGATAAAGTAGGCACAAGCCAAGATGTCGTGGCTGAACATTAGACCACAGAAAGTGAATGAGTTAGAAGGCTACATTCTCCCCCTCATCACTGGTGGATGAGTCAGAGAGCTAAAGTTACCAGTACTATTTTCATTCCCTCAGTGAGAAATGTCTCAGGCAAATACTGCAAATCAAAAGCATTAAAATTAGTGAAGTTATATGAAACTTAAGCTTCACAGGGACCTTTAACCAGGGTTAAACAATCATACCCTCTATGATGCCTATGTCTGGAAAATTATATAAACTTACCAAAACTTTGTAGTATTTCTGTACTGGGAACCAACACGGGGCAAGCAAACAGCTGTTTTGTTTTTGCTGCTCTCGCCTATCAGGCAAGTCCTGGGTGCTATGACTGACATCGGAGCTTTTCTCTATCCGTATGTCATTTTACAGAAGTGAAGAGATTGTTTTGGCCCCCATTTTAGCAGAGAAAGGGAAAAGTCTTCTCTGCTTCTGAAAGAAACCTCCTGCAGCCATTTAAGGAATAGTAAGATGGGGAAGGTTGCCCTGTGCAGTACAGTAACTAGCATTTTTTCAAAGCAGAAACTTCGTATGAAGTATTCAGTATTCTAAGGAGGGCTCATGCTTCCTTGTGAGAAGAGAACTGGAGTGTATGGATTACTGAGAGAATATAGGAAGGAGGAGGGAAAGGGAAAAGAGAAAAGGGACCATGCAGAAAAAACTTACCTAGGAAAAAAAAGAGAGAATAAACTACTAACTTTTCCTTTTATGCTAAATTTTCAGTTCCCTCTTTGCAATGAACCAACACCATAAATTGGTAATATCTATATCATCTATGTCAAAGATCACTAGTTCCAACATAGGAGAATTTACACACATTGAAAATTTGTGAAGCTGAAATTTAATATTTGACCCGATAATAACAAGGCTTAAAGATATTCCTATGGTAAGCTAAAAGATGTGCAACTTTTGAGATGACTGGTTCAATCACAAAAAAATGTAAGAATGAAGTTCAGGTGAAAAGCTACCATGTACGTTGTCCTCACTATTTCTCACCATGCAGATTCTGAATATGGAAGCAGTTCTAGCTTTGTGTTGCAGAATTTCTCTTCACTGAGTAGCTCTTTTCACTCTTTCATTCTCTCCTTCTTTTCTGGCAGTGAAAACACATTCTTTTCCTCTGTAATGTAATTATACACAAACTCACAACCTCAACCATATTGCCATGATCTAGCATCACCCACAATCTGGCAGATGCCACTGACTGAAAACACAGCTCTACTTCAGAGTAAGTCATACAGATGTACTGTTTCTACATATAAAAACACAGTTTCCATGGCATGACAGCACTGTCTGTACACACTGGGGACTGACACCTAAGCTTCTTTGTGTGATGATTCATTCTTCAGCTCTCATAAGCAACATTAATTCAGAAAAAGTGTGTGCAATGATTCTTATTTAAAGATTCTGAATTTTGAATAATTTTGAAATTACAGTAATTTTTACTTTAATGTCATTGCCAGTTAGGTTGCCTGACTCAGAACATGTGGTTTTGATTTTAAACAGCTATTGACTTTGTTTACTTGGGAAGCAGGGTCAGTATTATACTTGGAGATCCTCTTACTCATCTTTAATTCCCATACTTTTTGTATAGACATTTAAGCACAGTATACATACAGTATTTTCTATGTGATACAGTGGCTTTATTGTATTCCAGTGAAAGCTATGCAATTCCAGCACAGTTGATTGGATTATAATGTCTAAGACTAGTGTAATGGAGCATGAACTTGAGACCTTGTAAATATCGAAGCACAACTAGCTTTGCCCTAATATGAGTTACAAACAAATAATAAGAGAGATGAACCATTATATTCAATTACTCTAATTTCCTGTCTTTTTTCTTTATTTTCCATTGAAATAATTTAAAACACTGCCTTCCAAATAAGTTTGAAGGTGTGTGCTGCATCCTCATATCTTAATTTAATTTATCAAAGGTGTAAAAACAGAGGGAACACGGGCCCATAAGGACATAATACTTTTCAAAGACAGAAAACTGGATGTCAGTATTTGAATCACCTAATTCGAATCACCTGATCACTAAAACCCAAGTTTTAGTTGAGCTAGTTCCTGCAAAGAAGAAATTCCCACTGTCCCTGTCATTGTCTGAGATATGTAATTTATGTCTTTGACCCTTTTGTAGACAAGCAGGATTTATGGAAAATGGAAGGTTACAACAGGGTTGTAAAAAGTGCTATCCAGTTGTGCTGTTGCTTAATTCAAAGGGTTAAGCATGAATGAATCTTACACGAAAAAGAAAAAATTCATTCTCTAAAAGAGCAAATCACAGTATTTAAATATTGAAGAAATAAAATATGAGGAAAAGGTGACAGCACTTAGCAGTCTTTTCAAACATAATTTTTCAAATTTCTCTAGGCAGAGTTTCCTGGAAAGAAATTCTTGAAAATTCATCTTTGAATGGGATTCTAAAAGCACTGTCAATAATTATGACTGTTTATGGGTGAGGAAGTATTTTTGTTTAAGGTCTGATGAATCCTGCTTGTTTTGAACCACATCTCATTAAACTAATTTATAAGCAAGCAAATGTAACATTAATAACTTATTTTCCTGAAAGCAAACATTTCAGTCAGGTTTTTATATAAAGTTTTCATTCAAGTGATTTTTTTAAACAGTCATACTAATCAGGATCAAGAATCTTAAATCTGAACTAGATCACCCTCTTTGCATTTCTGCTTATAAAAGTTACTCTCTCCTACAGCAATACAGGGGATAGACGGTTTTAGAATAAAAGTTGTTAAATTATACTCTCATTCCAGTAGCTCATCAAGACCTATCCAAGAACTGAATCTAACCTTTCAACATTGTTTTTTTCTGTTTTGACATCTCCCAAATGGCTTGCCAAAAGCTCTGGAACACTATAATCTCTACTGGAAAGTAACTCCCTCTTGGAAATACACTTTAGCTTCCTTTGTTCTTTTCTCTCCTTGATGGGCTGGATGCTGCTTGCTCCCAGAAATGAATAACATGGTGTGCAGTGAGTGCTATAAAGTCAGGGATGTGAGCCAAGAGACAGACAGAGATGCTTGTTCAAAGTCATTCATCCAGTGACTTCACTGGAAGCTGGAAATTATTTCTCATTGAAGAAAAATGTTTGCCTTTTAACTTAACTGCTCTTGCACTCTCACACTGTAAAGTATGTGAATGCTAGAGGGAACACAGAGAAACTGAGTCGAAACACCACAGTCGCTGTGAAAGTCATTCTAGAAATTCCTTTTGTATTGCTATAAGTTGTTAAAAGAAAAAATATTTTGTGTTCTTGGCTCTGTCAAAATATTGGGAATTTGTAAGAACTAAGTTTCAATTCTACTTGATAACTAGACAGGACCAGGAGGAAACACTTTCTGCCATCTTGCCATCAATGACAAGCAACATATGTCTTATAGAAAAGACTGCAGTATTGGATCATCTAAAAGTTAGCATATTATATAACCCCTTGAATATCCATCACTCATAAACTCCAGCTTTGTCAACATGTTGGCATATCAGTTTTTAACCAACACAAGCAGATCTGAATTATCTTTATTTATTTTTATTTATTCTTATCCTGGATGAGAAGATCAAATGTACCCTCAGTAAATTAGTGGATGACACCAAGCTGTGTGAGTGTCAATTTGCTAGAGGGTAGGAAGGCTCTCCAGAGGGATCTGGTCAGGCTAGAGAGATGAGCCGAGACCAGCTGTATGAGCTTCAACGTGACCAAGTGCCAAGTCCTGCACTTCAACCACAACAACCCTCTGCAGAGCTACAGGCTGGGGGAAGGTGGTTGGAAAGAAGCCCAGCTGCAAAGAACCTGGGGGTGCTGTTTGACAGTGCCTGAAAAAGAGCCAGCAGGCTTGTATCAAGAGTTGTGTGGCCAGCAGAACTAGGGAAGTGGTTGTCCCTCTGTACTCAACACTGGTGAGGCTGCATCTCAAGTACCATGTCCAGTTCTGGGCCCTTCACTTCAAAAAGGACACTGAGGGGCTGGAGTGTGTCCAGAGGAGGACAAAGATGCTGATGAAGGGTATACAGGGTAAGTCCTGTGAGGAGCAGCTGAGGAAGCTGCAAATGTTTAACTTGGAGAATAGGAGGCTCATGGGAGACCTTATCACTCTCTACAACTATCTGAAAGGAGGTTTTTAGCAAAGTGGGGATTGGTCTCTTCTCCCAGGCAACTAGCCACAGGATGAGAGGACACAGCTTCAAGCTGTGCCACAGGAGGTTCAGACTGGACATCAGGGGGAATTTCTTCACAAAAAGGGTGGTTAAACATTGGAAGGGGCTGCCCAGGGAGGTGGTGGAGTGACCATCCCTGGAGGTGTTCAAGAAACTACTGGACATGGCACTCAATGCCATGGTCTAGTTGACATGGTGGTGTTTGGTCAAGGGTTGAACTAGATGATCTTTTCCAACATAACTGATTCTGTCATTCTCTGACTTTCCATTTGCTTCTGGATAAAATTCAATATATTAGAACTACTCGAAGTCCCACTCCTTCACTTTAGTTTTGTGGGGGTTTGTTGCAGTGCAGGTTTTTTTAGGACAGCATGCTATTCACTGAAAGTATCAAAACACATTCACACACTTTACACAGATATGACATCGCAAACCGTGATTACAATACATTCTCAAACTCTCTACAATTTTATATTATCTTCCATGTTTCACACTGTTTAGGTTCAAGGTAAGAATTCAAAGGCTCATTACCTCTCTGATATGCTGAGAACTTATTAGCATAATTAGAAACTAAAAAATCAGGAAGTGATATTTGATCCAAGGAGTGGTGTACCAGCAGAGTCAATACAAGATGGAATAAGTTTGTAAGAGTGCTGCAAAATTTGTTTTGTTTTGATTCAATGTTTAAAATGCTTATGCTGCCAAAATTATATTTAGAAGACAAGCTATTAGGGTAGTAAGTACAGAGGAAATCCTTCAAGGACAAAGGACCACTATTGCTGCTACAGTCATGCAATGACTTTGGCTGTGGGATTTTGGCTGTGGACACTTTAAACTGTGGTTTTGAATTAATGTTGTAGAGAAAGGTGAGAGAATGACATTACTGCTACAATACTGGTTGTATCACAAGAATGTTGGGATTAGAAGATATTTTGTGTCTTATTTAATGCATATGTTTGAACATGTATTTGTAAATGTATTTCTATGTATGTGATGGCACATTGACACCTACTTACCTATCCATTCATCTGTGGATAAAACTTGTAAAACAAAATAATATAAGTCAAGAAAAAGGAGAAAGGGGAAATAAAAGAAAGCTGGATTGATTATTCTAGTGACAGAACTTAAGAACTGATCACAAAGTCCTGCCACATTAAAAATTCTTTGGGCAAGATTTATGGCATTTACTTTTAAGGACTGGAATATTAATAACTGTAAAAGCTAAGGAAAGGTTATCACTGACAGTAATAGTGCTTTTATAGAGTGAGAATATTAAAGTTATATTTCTCATACAAAGAAATCCATTCTTCTAAGGAAAAAAAAAGAGGATCACACAGGGCTGTGTTTTCTAGCACAACCAGTCATACTTTATTCAGCCCTGGACGAAGGAAACTTTGGAAGCAATTAAGCCTTGTGTCCATGAATGCAAAGGTGACACACACATTTACTGTGCATTGAAATACTCTCTCTTACATAGGAACCTGATATATTCTGCAGGTCCATTGCTTGGAAGTCCTGGGAAGAGCCAGGGCCCTAATTCTGGGAATTACTTGCTGTCAGGAAGCGGGTAAAGCAAGACCTGGCCTCACACTTTGAATGAGAATGGTTGTCAAGGTTACTGATGCTGAGTGGAAGATAGATAGGAATATGGAACCAGAATGTCAGAGTGAGATCTGGCATGAAAACAGACATTATTTCAAGGACTTACTAGCAAGTGGACTGGCAGAAAACATAAAGGAAAGATTAGAGTTGGTAACATAAAAGGACCTTGTCTGATAGCATTACAGAAAACAAAGAGAAGGAAGAAACGTGGTAACAACTAGGTCTCTGTAGGGGTTGAGGCCTTTGTATTTGGAACATAGGAAGTAGAAAATAAATTGTTTCAAATGATAGGAATTTGAAAGAGGCACTTATCTTCAGCAAATAGTGTTTATTGTTTTGGCCTTACCCCTTCTATTAGGTAAGATTATCTTCGTGGCACTTACTTGATTAGATAGGAATATGAACACCTGTAAAAACTAAGTGACATCTGATTCTGAAAAACCTTTATTTCCTGATTTACAGGTCAATATTGCCTAATCTAATGTGTCCTGACTGAACGTTTTCACCCATGACAGGTGCACCTGCTGCAGCCTTCCAGCCAGTGACCTGGTCTGACCTCAGATGTGTGATAGTTGGCTGCAGCCATGTAACACTGACCAGCCCCTGTGCAGGCTGACCCCCATCACGACTGCATGGTGGCTGTTGTGGGAGGCAGGTAAGACCCTCCAGCCAATGAAGGCTGAAGTGACCATATTTAACCACAGACAAGACTCAGCTCTGACCTCACCAGAGTGGGTCAGTTGAGCTGGTCCTCCTTGAAGCAGCGGGTCTGCAGGGAGTCTGCAGCTGGGGCCTCTCCCCTTGGGTCAGATTGCTGCCCAATGTAATTCCACGAGGTTGAGAGCTCTCCACTGATTGGGTATATGATTGCACATTATGGGTTATCCTTCTGAAACATAAAGAATTCTTAAGTCATTCATGTAGTACCAATTCCATGTGACATCATGAATCTGTATTCAAATGCTGATATAACTTTATTTGGTTTAACTGTTTTATCTCGCTTAACTGGTTTATAAAGTAAATCTCATTTGAGTATATCGTGTCTCAATTTTATAAGACTACATGACATCACCTGGTACCTCTATGCAGAAACAACTATATATTTGGAACATGAAAACTTTCAATAAGGAGTGCAGGAAGTATATTCTGCATTCAACATCTGAATATCAACAAACATCATCCTCATCATCCAAGTTTGGACCTGAAGAAAATGAGGGGAATAAAATAAGGGAAAAGAGAATTCATATTGCATATTTGCCTGCAAATTCTGTCAGCCTTAAGACTTGTTAAGCAGTAAGATAAGATAATCAATAAGAGAATGGATATTAAAAATTTCATATCCAAACTACCTTCTTTCCTCCACCATTATAGGTATTGGGGAAAATACAATAATTATATTTCTTTGTCTGATGAGGCAGAAAGAGGGTTTGTTTTAGTTTTGCTGCTCATAATCCTGATGTTTTGTTCCTAGTTCTTAGGAAGTACAATTAAAATATTCTAAAACTAATTAACCTTTGCCTCAAGTTCAGATGAGCAATTTTTTCCCTACATAGTTTTGCTCAGCAAAACCATTGCGCAGTTGCAAAACGATAATAGCGTTAAAATTATAACCTCAAATTAGTTCTACTGGGAACTGATCATGTTTAACAGTCAAATGAAAAATAAAATACTGATTAAATACAACAAACTATTTAGAAAATCTCTCTCAGAAAAGATTAATAGAAAGCTTTCATGTCAGACAAAAGAAAATATCAGAAACTATGTGGGAAGCTACAGGAAAATTAGTATAAATTATTTCCTTTTAGTTCTAGATTGGTCAATTTTTATCATATTGGTGATCTGAAAAGAGAAGGAGTAAGAGAGAGATGCATATGAGACATTGCTATAAAGTACTCCATAAAACTACTAGTGAAAATCTGCTGCAGAACAAACTAATCACAGTCAGTGAGTAAACAAGATCAACAAACAGGTCAGTCCTGATACAGACAACATACTGCAGAGGAAGATATGTTTAATCCTTTCTCCCTTCTCAAGGAGGCTTGCAAGTTGAGCTACTCCTGTTTATAAGGTTTTCTGGAAAGAAAAAGACAGTAAAACTATATAGACCTCAAGAAAGATGCCCTGTCATGCGCTGTTATGTATGTGGCTGCGTTGAATTTTCTTGTCTTGAAAGACTATAGCACCCCAAAGAAGTTTTGGAATAGTCACTGATGATTTACACTCTTAGTACCTAATTCGGGTGAACTATGGTTTTGACATCAACTAATTGTTGACAATCAGTTGTCAATAAAAAATTCATTTTAGATCTATCTTGTTTATGGAGTAGTTTAATTATGAAGACCTGACATTTCTTTAGCTTTATTATATTTATTTTACATGGTACTTTATAGCTCTGTGTATCAACTCCAATTGACTTGTTCCATGTAAGATAAAATTCAGTTTTGCACTGTACATCCAATCAAGTTCTACCAAGTTCCTAATTTGATGTAATGTCAAGTATGTGTTTAAAAACACTATCAAAACCCCCTAGATTAAAATATCTTGTTGGCACTCTTCTTTTATTAATATTTATAGATGATGTGGTGATATTAAACCCAATTGATTAACTGGAATTTATTCACTAGAAGTTTAATACCTAAAGATAGGTGGTTTTAGTACTTGTATGTTGATTACCTATGCTATCTAAAGTACTCAGCCCTGGGGTTAATAATCTTTTGGGACATCCCCAAAAGGAGGTCTAAAAATGATCCTATGATATAACAAAATGAAATAAAAAGCAAATATGAACACAAACACAGAATTTGTTAATTTATATAGGTTTCTGTTACAAAAGATTTAGAGAACTTAACAACTCTCAAATCTAGGCATGAAATGTGCAGAGTCCTTGCTGAGTACCAATTTTATATATTGCAAACTTTGCTTTTTTATTTGGGATTGATTTACTTCAACTGTCAGTAGTCATCAGGATGCAGCATATGCATTACAATTAATTAAGGTACTTAGAGAAAGCAGACATTCTAAACTCAGCTTATATAACTTTATAGTGTCATATCAGCTTCACTATGGAATGGAAAGTTATAAAATGCCTTGTTTTAAAGATACTACTCAATATATAAATTTTATTGATGAACCAATTAGAAAAGCAAAACCTACTCATTTTACTCTTTAATCTACTGGCCTTGTTTTAATGATTTTAATTTCTTTTTCCTCTCCAGATTTGAGTGGTTGTGACTTGCTTTTCTTCTACAATGGTTCCCTGCTTAGTGTGCATGTAGTGAATCTCTGCGGATCTGACATAGCGAGTGCAGTCATGTTCTACTGGCCCTCTCAAACAGCAGCTGAATATTTCATTGTCCTCCTTTCTCAGACAGCAGAGTAGCTGCTGTTCCCCTTGGAAATCCCCTTCCTCCACCCTCCCGGGAAGGAGGGTAAGGACATCTTTGAGGCAACATTAGGAGTGCTGGGTGTCCCTTGCCTTTCAGGGAAGTTCCACCATTGCTGGCTGTACCATGTCCTACCTGCCCTGGAAGTCCCACCCCTCCTCTGGTCATGAAGTCTCTTTACTTCACCTCCTTCTGTCACCTGTGGTAAAATGGCTTTTCCATGTGTTGGTAGGTAGCCCTTTGTCTGGCTGGCAGGACCAGTGGCCTCTTCCAGTTTACCCTGAAGTACAGGAGAACAAAAAGCCCCTACCTACCAGATACACCAAAGTCACCATTATTAAAAATGTCATAACCTCAAGGTTTTCATATGGCAGGTTTACCATTTTTTAAACCTGTCATAGCCATGTGATCACAAAGCATCCTCTGACTGGCTGCTTGTTTCCTTTGGGCATGGAAGTGCTGTTACATAAAAACATATACCTTTATATATATTTTTCTCTATTTATAGATAAGAGTGTACAAACATGCATAAATACATTTTATTGGGTTTTGCACTTTATATTTATTTATATATCAATATATATCCAAACATTAAGATTAAAAAAAATTAAATATATATACACAAATGTATCAGTATATAATGTACCAGGTATTCTTTAATTAGAGCTAATGAAACCAATAATTAAAGGATAATTAATATGAAGGAGTTAAATAAAAATAAAAGGCAAGTTTGGGTTCCACCACTTTGCAAGGCTACTGAATCAGCCCTAACTTGTTTGGAGTGGATAGAATTCACAAAGATGTGGGACCATGGGCAAGTTACAACAAGCATACAGTTAGTCTCTGTCTGCTCTGCTACTTCTCTCAGGAGCCAGGTTGCTGCAGGATAAGTTGACCTGTCTGTCATGATGGGGCTGGTCAGCTCTGACTGCACATTTGAGTCTGTAACGAGAGACAAGACACCAACAGTCTGGCCCCACAATCCAGGGAAAACCAATCTCATCTGGCTGTAGTATCCCTAATGGCAGAGCAGCATCAATGAGTATCTTTGGCAGCACAGGAGGACCTGATGTCATGGTCTGGGAAAGAAAATAGATTGGTGGCCAGGGTTGGCAGTGATGTCATGAAGGCGTTCTGGACAAAGTGACCTCAGCAAGGGAGCCTTTCCTTCTCCAGGCTGAACAGTCCCAGCTATTAGCCCCTTCTCATATCAAAGATGTTTTAGTCATCATTTTTTTGGCCCTGTGCTAGACTTGCTCCAGTAAGTCCATATTTTTCTTGTACTAGGTTTCATAGAACTGGATCCAGCACTTCACAGGTGATCTCACTAGAGCTTAGTAGAGAGGAAGGATAAACCACATGGTAATGTTCTTCCTAATGCAGCCCAGGATATCCTTGGCTGAAGAGGATATTCGTTATGTTTACAAGTAATATGGCCTAGTGATGAAGTGAAATTGGAAAGAATTGCTAGATTGATGCAGGACAGAGAATTCACAAGGATTTTCACCAGTTGGAGAAATAATCCGAAAAATATTAAGGATTAAATACTACAAGGATGAAAGAACGTATCCATGTTTGGAGGAAAAAATGTAGAAAGTTACAGCAGACCTGTGAAAGAGAGAATATTACTTATAGAAGATGACAAGTTCAACAAAAGTTAGCCACATCACACTCTTAAAAAAAGAGACAATCATCATCCTGGGATATGTGAAGAAAAACAAGAGATATATAAAGAGAAGTTTCAACTGCACAAAAGATGAAATCATCTTACTGTTCATTTCAATTTTTGAGAGGCTAGAGGACAGAATATTGTCTTTTATTCACCACACATTTAGGAAGATGATGACTTAGAATGACTAAAGAACACCCCCTAAAAATCAATGTGAAGAGCTTAATCCTTGTCCTAGCTCATCCTGACTAAATCCTATTCCCTGTGAATGACCTGGGATTCTCATGCTGTGCCCTCCAGGCAAGGCTTGAACTCCTGGATTGTATCCTGGGTTCACTCACAAGAGAAAAACCAACCTATCACTTTTTCTTGCCTTCTTCTTGCATGATCTTCATCCCATTCCAACCAAAAAGTCTATTGCAGTCTTGAGAAGTCTAGAAATAAAGACACAGAAATAATTACCTGTGAACATGGCTTAAAAGCAGCTGGATAGTCTAAGAAATATGATGAAAGAAAGAAAAAATGGCAGTCTTCAAGTTTATAAATAGAGAGAATGGGATCTGTTCTTCAGATCTCTGTTGGACAGGATGGGAAGATATTACATTGCAGTAGGAAAATTCAGCTTGAATATTATGGAAACTTTCCAGCTACGTAAGGGTTTGATTAGCTCTAGCTTGTATGGTCTGGGGAGCTGGGCAAGTTCTTGTCACTAAAGTTTTTTCAGAGATGTTTTGATATACTTTTGCAAGCACTGACAAGGGATAGTGGATCCTGCTTGAGACAGAGAAACATCTTGCCTCTCCAAGCTTTTCTTTCCCAATGTAATTTTCTATAACTCTCTTATACTGTAGTAAAACAGAAATGCTGAAAGGATTTTCTTTTGGAAAGGGCAGAGTTTAGGATGGGCAGATTGATTTGTGAGATCAAAACAATGCCATATTCTTCAAACAAAATTCAAAATAAGAGGTACTTCGGAATTCAAGGCCTTTTTTTTTAACTTGAGCAACTAACAATGTATCATTGACTTTTGAGTGGTACAAAATAAGAGAAATATGCTCCTACAGATACAATTTCCTATGCCAGCTCCTCTGGATTTTGAGTTTACAAGGATTATATTATGTCAGAAAACTCAGACACATGTTAAGAAGTGACATTAGTCATATATAAAAAGA